TTTTAAAGTATGTATGTATGTATGTATGTATGTATGTATGTATGTATGTATTCATCTATTTATTTATTGAGAGAGACAGAGAGAGCAAGCAAGCGCATGGGGGAGGGGCAGAGGGAGAGAATGAATTCCAAGCAGGCTCCTTGGTGTCAGCGTGGAGCCCAACATGGGGCTTGAACTCACCAACCATGAGATCATGATCTGAGCTAAAATCAAGAGTCAGAGAGGCTTAACCGAAAGAGTCACCCAGGTGTCCCGGGAAAGACCCATTCATATCCACATCTTATAGGTGGGGAAACTGAGGGTTAGAGAGGTTAAGCGACTCATTTGAGGTCATAAACCTCATACGGAAAGAACTAGGATTTAAACATGGGGCGGTTCTCAATTGTTTGCAATGTCTGCTCATCACCTGTGTTTGGTTGTGGCAACTGGGAGGTGCTACTGGCATCTAGTGGGTAGAGTCCAGAGATGCCGCTGAACCTTCTACGATGCACAGGACAGCCCCCCACATCAGCTCCCCCCATCACAGAATGATCCACTCCAAAACGTCAATAGCATTGGGGCACCTGGGTGGCTCAGCCAGTTAAGCTACTGACTTTGGCTCAGGTCATGTTCTCACGGTCCGCGAGTTTGAGCCACTCATCTGGGTCAGGGCTGACAGCTCAGAGGCTGGAGTCTGCTTCAGATTCCGTGTCTTCCTCTCTCTCTCTCTCTCTCTCTCTCTCTCTCTCTCTCTCTCTCTCTCTGTCCCTGCTCTGCTCACACTCTGTCTCGCACTCAAAAATAAATACATAAACATAAAAAAAAATAAAATGTCGATAGCATTGAAACTGAGAAACCCTGTCCTTATACCAAAACCCAAGTTTCCTAAACACAAGACACTTCATCTTATTTTCTGCATTTTTACTTTATTAATAAATACTATAATGTATTTATTCTTCTGCTTAAATGGACTTTAAATTGATGTGCATCTTAAATGTTTTTCTCCTGAAGCCAAGTGTTTGATTTTTTAATCAAACAAACAAACAAAATCAAAACATTAATTTTTTCTGACACATATTAACATAAATATAAAATTATTTACAAAACATGTTTGGGTACCACCAAAAATCACCTCACCTACTACTTGTAGTCTGGGGGAGCCAAAATTGAGACCCACTTCACTTGTCTTGTCGTTTCCTTTCTCTTTTCAGAACAAGAGAATAAAATGTATCAAACCAGCGTGTTGCCCCAGCACGGCAAGGTGCTGGCCACATTTTGGCTTCTGTTGGAGAAAGTCATCCAGGGGACATGACCTTCAGTTGACCCCTGAGCTGGCAGTGGGCAATCGGAGGCTCATCACCCCCTCCCCTGTCCTTGCAATGTATATCCCAAACACTGTTCTGGCACGAGGAGTCTGCTTCAAGGATGCAGCCTTGAGAGAGCAAAGTGCTGCTGAGACCATCCGGACGATATACTACTGACCCCTATTGCGGGTTGTGTGTAATATAAACTTGTAAGATTCTGGCAGGCAGGTGGAGAGATCCACTTGCCTTGCAGGGCCCAGGGCAGGCCTTGTAAGTTCCCTTGCTTATTACCCCCACCATCCACCCATCTGGAGACGTCTGCCTCCTCCTTTGGTCTCTCCTTGCCCTCTGCATTTGGGAGTCCAGTTTTGATCTCCCCCAGCCCCCAGGCAGCTCTTAAGGTTTCCGACCAACAGCTTGTGTGCCATCTCTTTTCTTTTTTCGCAAGGCTAACAGTTGCTAAGAAACCTTTTTGAAACGAAACCCTAACAGTCACCCGATGAGGACTCTTAAGAATCACCGGTCCTCCTTCCGGTGAGGACCACGACACAGAGAGTCTAATTTGTGGAGTTGCATATAGACTGACGTGGGCTCCGAGTCCTGGTGAGTAAACCTCCTTTGTAACATCGCTCTTTCCCCTTAATACCTGGGGAGTATGGTTGCAGGTTCCTGGCAAATTGTGCTGCAGACTCACATAATGAAGCCTAGAGCCAACGAGATTCTTCCTTAGATACTAAAAGTTCCTGTGTTGTAAATAATAATGTCATCATCTATTTCATAGAAAGCACTTTCCTGAAGAGCTGCATGTTAATTTCAGCACATTTGCAGGAATTCATTTGGGTAGTGGTGGGGGTGGTCTTTGATGATGATTTTTCATCTTCTATGAACTTGACAGGTGTCTCAATTAGGAAGTGAATAACCACCACCATCCCTTCACACACACACACACACACACACACACACACACACACACACACACCGCACCCCTCCCCACCGGGAACCCTTACGGAAATGCTTTCTCAACCACATGTTCTAAATGGGGACATGTTGTCAATAATCACGCTTCTATTAGGAGGCAGTGACTCTATTTACTGAGTTGACATACCCAGAGGAAAGTGGCTTTCTTCCTTTAGAGAGGAAAATGAACCTGATTCCCCCCCTTCTTGTACATATTTTTCAAAGGCTTGGGAAACGGGTGTGGGCAATGTTCCAGGCGGGAACAGCAAGGGAATTTGGTTTGGTTGACGTTCACAGGGATAGCAGGTTTAAAGTTTGGGATCTGGCAAATAAGCCACAAAGGGTCCTTCTATCAGGTTGGCTTCTTTCCCAAGCAGGCTCCCTGCACTCTCCTTGTGACAATCAGGGGGCAGTCTCTGTTAAGTAAAGCCTGGAATAGCAGCCAGAGTGAATCTCCCCTGAGGACTGGACTCAAATATTCTGGTGACAGGCAATATTTTACAGAGATCGGAGACAGATTCTAAAATGGACTTTTCTGTCTAGATTTTGTCTCTTTTCACGAAGGTGTTTTTTTCTGTTTGTTTGTTTTGTTCTGTCTCTCTTGTTTAAAATCGAATTTAAATGTGTCTGAACAACCCCAACTCTGGCGGGAAGGTGTCTGTGACCTATCCTCCTACCAGGCCCTTGTCCTAGGCTCCCAGCCCTGATGCTTGCTGGGAGGTGCCTCGGTGGGGTGCAGTGGGGGTGGGCAGGCAGGAAAGCAGAGGTTAGGAGTCTGGCATTCTGCACCCAGCCCTGGCTTTCCCACTTGCTGACCATGTAACCTTGGGACAAAGACCTTAACCTCTCTGAGCCTCAGCCTCTTGGACCTAGGCAGGACTGCTGGAAGCGTCCTTGCCAATTCTGATTTAGTGCCTAGAAATATCCCGATCTCTCTGTGTGGTCTTGACAGCACAAACTCCCTTGTTTGTCTCTGTTGTATGCATTTCTTTCCTCCCTTCGTTTCACACCAAAGGTCTTGCATAAGAGTTTAGTAAGTTCTTCAAAACAGCCTGTAAATAGTTTTTGGGTGTTTCTCATGCTTCTTGCTGCTGTAGGTGCTGGGAGATGCTGCAGGAGTGAAGGCCCCTTTCTGCCCTGGAGTTTACCGTTCAATGTGCGGAGATAGGCAAAAACCAAATACATAATGTAATGTCAGAGGGACAGGGAGTCTGGAGACCTATTTTAGGCAGGCACTATCTGCAGTGGTTACAACACAGACCCTGGAGTCACATTTCTTGGGTCAAAAGCCAACTGTGTAGCATCCCTTGCTGCGGTATTGTGGGCATCTGGTTTGATCGCTTTGGGCCTCAGTCCCTCCCTCTGTTGTGTGGGCCTCGTACTATCACCTAGAGATAGAGTTACAGGAGATCAGTCACTCCAGTGGTTTAGCAACTATTCCCAGATTGTCTGCGAGATGCTACATATGCTTTGAGCATCTGTGAAGACGTGACTTTAGAAAAGACAAGCTTAGTGGGTATATTGTAGGCATCAGATGTCAGCCATCATTAGTTCTCACACACCAATGCTTGTGTTTGTAGACGCTCACACAGTGGTGGTGGGTGTGGGTCGACCCACATGCCACACTGCCGTCTTTTGGGAACCTCGTTCCGATGGCTCTGATGCACTTAGACTAAACAATCTCACACCTTGTCCAGGTGGGTTTGGGACATAATACAAAGAGCCCGCGATTCAGTGAGTCTCCGAGGGCTGGCATACTCCTGGATATGCTGGGTCAGTGTCGGCCTGGTTCATTTTTTGCTGGAACAGGGTCATTCTGTGCTAGTCTTTCAGAAGACAGGAGGTGACAGTCTTCCAAGAGAAGGCACAGTCAGCCAAACTCCCTGTCATTTTCAGAAAACTTGCAAAGGAGTTCAGTAACCACCTCCCCACCATGCTTTTTCGGTTAAAGAGAACCCACTATGTCATTTTATTGGTGGCCCAACTTTTGGGTGCTTTGAAAATGCCCGGAGAAGCCCCTGACTGAAGCCCAGTGGAGGGGAGGGTGGTGGAGACAACATTTCCCTGCCAACCCTCCAGGTGACTGCAAGGTGTATACTTAGTTAATGCAATGAAAAAAAAAAAACAAAAAACAAAAACCAAACACACACAGGGGCGTGTGGAGATCTGAATTCAGTGTAGCAGCTTTGGTGCAAATCCTGTTTTGGGGGCTATTGGAGTCAAACTCAAGCAGAGGAAAGAAGTGGGATAAATGAGAGAGGGCCAACTGATTCCAGCTGGAATCAGCTGAGTGGAGAGGGCAGATTTGGAAATGCTGAAGGGCAAGGACCAGAGGCTGGAAGCCCAGGAAGCAAGGCCGGACTGCACCACGTCCGGTGAGGATGTCTGGGGGGCTCCGTGAGCAAGGGGCCAGCCGACTCCAGAGACCCACGCGCGAGCTCCAGATGCGGGAGGGTGGCTGAGGCTAGGTGTCCAGGCCTTGCGCTGCACTGGATCTGGGCTTGCGGTGTGCCCTCCTGTAGAACGCAGGGAAGGCCCCCGCGAGGTTTTAGAAGGACACAAGTGGCAGGTCCTGAGGCCTGGGAGAGTCCCAAGGAAAGACCTTCAGGAACTTGGGGTGTGCCCCTGCCTGGGCCTGGTCTGCTGCCTCTTCCTACCCCCTGGGCTTCTTTGACTTCAGTTTCTCCCACGGCCCTCTCCCGGGGGTCCTTACCTTGGGGCCAGTGGCTTGCCACCGCGCCTTCCCAGCTCAGTCTTGGTCCTAGGCAAGTCCCAGGGAGTAGAACCACCCCGGATGCGCGCCTGGCTAGAGGGCTCAGTCGGGGAATGGAAGGGCGAGACGGCCCGGGCACCATGGAGGGGCGATCCTGATCAGACTGTGTCTCAGTTTGCCTTGGAGTGGAAGCCACTTAGTCTGTCCCTACCTAGCCCCTGTGAATCCGCCCTTCCCTGGAGGGCAGATTCGAACCGCAGCTCCTGCGCACTGACGCCTGAAAAAGCCAGGGGCTGAGCCGCCTCTTTGCCCTGAACAGGTCTGAGCCGCGCCTCCCTCCCAGAGAGGGCGCTAGAGGTCCCGCAGCCATACTCCACCTGCTGGGAAACCCGAGCGGTGCCTTCAGCCCCAGAGGCTGTGGACGCTCCCCCCTCCCCGCCCGCTAGCCTAGCTCAGCTCTGCACCCCCGCCCCTCAACTCGCTCCCGCCAGCCCTGCCGACTCACCTCTTCCCCGCCCCCGCCTCTCGGGAGCTCGCGACCTTTTCACCCCTCGGCCCCCCCCCCCCCCCCTCCGGCTTTCCTCCTGCCCTCTCTTCGTACCAAAAGCGTTGCTTGGCTCTCTCCTGGGGACTTAGCAAGCTGAGGAGCTGAGAGGGATCCTGAGAGCGGGCGCAGGGCGGCTAGTCCGGAGCCGCAGGCCTAGGCGACACGGACCGACCCACTCTCCGCTGCTCTCCGGCCTCCGCCTCTCCCTGTAGGGGGCCGGACGTGCACCCAGCGCTTGCCCCCACTCGTCCTCCCCCAGCCCCGCCAGGCGCGCTCCTCCCCGCCTGGCCCCTCCCCTTAGGCGCGCTGCGCGCGGCGCCCGGGAGGCGAACGCGGGCTGAGCCCAGCGCCGGGGCGCCCACCAGCGAGAGCCCCGCGCCTCTCCCTGCCTGTGCGGCTGGAGGCTACTCGCAGCCCCCGGCAACAGCCTCGGCAGCTTCCGCTGCGCCTGTAGAGGCAGGCGGCCGGCCGAGCCCATGCTGGGAGACATGATTCGTAGCGTCCTCCGGCTGCTCCTCCGCAGCTTCCTCACCGAGCTGTGCGCCCGCGTGTGCTGGGCGCAGGAGCTAGCGGGGCACGGGCGAAGGAGCGAGCGGGGCACGGGCAGCTGGCTCAGCTGGGCTGCGTGGTAGTGCTGGCGCGGGGAGGGGGGCGTGCAGCCCCTCTGGGGGCCGCCTCGGAAGAGGCCAGCGAGGGCGCGGGGGTCTGGGACGCGTCCCCTACCCGAGCGCCCACGCCGAACTTCTGCCGCGGCTACTTCGGTATCAGGGACCAGTGGGACCAGCCATTCAATTGTTCCTCGGGCGACTTCATCTTCTGCTGAGGGACTTGTGACTTGCGGTTCTGCTGCACATTTTAAGAAGCGGCGACTGAACCAGAGCACCTGCACCAACTCGGACATTCCGCTGTGGCTCAACACCCGCAAACCCCCCGGGCGCAAGGACGGCCCCCTGCACCACCCCCACGAAGGACAAGACCAACCGGATCCTTTACATCATGTGCGGGGTGCTGGCCTTCACGCTTGTAGGCATCTTCACCAAGCTGGGGCTGGAGAAAGCGCACCGGCGGCAAAGGAAGCCAGTCCAGGTAGGCTGCCTCCCCTCCACCCAACTCCGTCGCCTCCCCTCCAGGCGCCGCTCTCCCTCCACTTCCCTCTCCACCTTTCCTTGGGCAATGGCGCTCCCCCCCCCAACCCCCTTGTCCGCTGGCGGAGATCGCCTGGGCAGCCAATTTCGGCTCCAGGCGCGGAGAAGGGGCGCTGGGCTCCGCACAGGTGTGGACTTGAGCGCGTGTGTGTATGCAGGGGGTGGTCTGTGCACCACCCCTCACCGTCTCGCTGCCCTTTCCCACCTAGGATTCAAGCGGATCTGAGACACACACAGCCCGGGAGCTCAGGGCCCCGGAGTCTTGGGTTTTGGCGAAGGGTCTACCTCTGGGATTCCAGATGCCAGCTTCTAGGTAAACAGGGCAGGCGGCCCGAAAAGGAAGGGCGGCACGTGTGAGGGAGGGAAGCAGTGTGTGCCGCCTGCAACTCGTAAGGGTCGCGAAAAAGAAGCGAGGGAGGTGGAGAGAGAGAGGGGAGGGCGAGAACAAAAGCCTTGCCTGGAGCGGCCTCTTCTCTCCCTCCCTGAGCTGTTAGGTT